AGAGAGAGAGAGAGAGAGAGAGAGAGAGAGAGAGAGAGAGAGAGAGAGAGAGAGAGAGAGAGTGAGAGAGTGAGAGAGTGAGAGCACAAATAAGTAGAAATATTTCTCAAAGATATAACATAAAAAACAATAACAAAGCGTAATAATAATGCAGAAAAAATGTTCGCACATTGTTTGCTAATTACGTGAAAATGACAATGGCAACAAGCAGCTGCAGCAAGACGCGTTCCACGTTATTTCTCGTTCGTATGAATTCAAGTATTACTGCGATCTCTTTTCGACGATTCGCCAGGCATTCACGAACGTGATATTCCGAAATTCAAGAACATAATCCGAATCCCGGGAGCACAATTTGAGACGCGGCAGCTCGTGTTCGCCATAACGCGAGGAAGAACGGGGGCGCGAGAATAAGATGCTCGCACTTAGCATCTTACGTCGGCGTGCCTCGAGCCCGGGACGAGCAAGCGAGTCACGGAAGATGCATAGGATGCACCGGGAGACGCAAGAGGTCGACATTTTAGCGAACATCTGCCAGGCAGGCTGATTTCCAGCCAACGATAAGACCTCGAAATGTAGCCGAGCCCCGACGGCTAGCTAGTATAACCACGCCGGAATTCATTAGTTAACCCCGCGATGCCGCGGCCTAGCATTTTCAGAGACTCGTTTCGCAGCGCGGTCTCTCGCGCACCGCGTGTACACGGAATTACATCGCTGAAGAATTCAGGAAAACGCGAGGAAAGAAGAAGATGAGCGAGCGAGAGAGAGAGAGAGGGGGGGGGAGAGGGAGACTGCTACCGGCTGCACAGTAAACGTAGTGTGCTCCTAAAAGCGCGGTGGAAGTATGATCCCTATGCGCGAAGATATCGAGCAATATCGAGGGAGATTGCTCCGGGTGAGAAATTTCCGTGCGACAACCGACGTTCGTAAACTTTAAATCACCTAGTATTGCGCGAGACAACTGGCCGCGTAATATTTTAATTACACCGCCTATAGAGCGCCGCGCAAGACTCGATCACGTTTCTATCAACAAATGGACTGATCTCAAAAGAGATATATGAACTAATCCGATCGGTAGATGTGTGTACACTGAGAGAAAAAATATCGGGGAAACAAAAATATTTATTCCGTAGGTAATGTGTGCGTGTGATAACGTATTTACTTTGTAGTAATATATCATATATTTTCGTATAAGAAAATGTACATTTTTTTCAAGCCTGAAGAAAATCGTAGTTTTTCATGCAAACAATTGTTTATTCTATTTAAATAATTTAAATAAAAGAATTTAGATTAAAAAGTACACACGCTATTAGTAGACCCACCAAATATTTATAGATATTCATTATTTCTTAGATATTATTCTTCTTTCTCAGGATATCTATTCGTGTCAATTAATCAATCAATCAGTCACGGTCGAGATTACAGTATATGCAAATTCCAGTGTTAATATGCTTTGTTTTCTTTAAGGTAAAAATATCAATTCCCAGACACGTACCTAATCTTATTTTAGTCTTTAAATACGAATATTTAAACTTTTCTAACATAGAATGTATATACTCAATATTTGCATATATATTTTATGTTAAAAATTTAAATATTTATATTTAAAAACTAAAATAAAAGAATGTCCAGGATTAGTCCCGGCATTGGTATTTTTACCTTATGCTTGATTAATTCGTTCACATGTCACTATTTACGTTTCTGTTTACGTGCCATCGGCTTCAATCTTGCTCGTGCTAATTAAAATCGCTGCGAAAAGCCGCGCGAATTGATGGCGCGTCCACACGCTTAAACCCAGTTAACGTATCTTGCTCGTCCTCGCAGCATCTCGGTGCTCGTGTGTACGATAAAGTCACCCATACTACGGCTCCACGTGATATACGCGGATACACGAGAACGATCCGTCGTCTGTCTCTACCGTACGACTTCCCTCGTATTTGCGACGGTCGCAATCGGCTCGCCGCGAGTGCAAGAGCGTAGTACATCAATATGAGGATCGCGGGGAGATGCGTTTGGGCGCGACGGCGTGCCGAGTTTCGAATATGGCGCATGCGTGCGCATTCTACTTACTCGAAGCGTCTCTTTCGGTCTCTTTCTAATCGGTGCATCGCTAGCAAAGCAAGTCTCTATTGCGACAACAAAGCTAGTCTCTGTCTGACCAGCGCGTTTCACTCGTAGTACTCTCATTCGCATCCGTGTCTCTCTTTCTCTCTCTTTTTTACCCTTCGCATTCTTGTCTCTCTCGTTCATGCTCGGCGGGTATCAGCGGCAACTCACTCTCTCACTTTCTCGTTGTCTCTCTCACACTCGTACTTCACTTACCTTCGCCATCTTCGTCTGATGAATCCACGTTCTCGCAGCCTTCTCTGTTGGAACACCAGACGTAGCCTCCCGTCCCGCTAAGCTCGTCACCTGCTCTCGCTCTCATCTTCATCCCTCTCTCTCTCTCTCGCATCACTAGGGCGCATTCTAGTCCTCCTACGCACGTCTCACTCGCGCGACCGGCACACCGACAGACCTTCTCTCTTCCGCACCGACACTCTTTCACTACCGCGACCGCGTAGCAGTGGGGACGAGTCATAGAAGTCGCGGGGGACACGACGTAGAGGGGGAACTCGTACGGCGAACCGAGTGGGAACGAGCACGGCGCGAGGGGTGGGAGGAGTAGCACTGGTGGCGCTGGTAGTGGGGAGTCGAGCCGGTGGTCGGCGCTAGTCTCGCGGAGAGCAAGAGTGTGGAAGGGCGTCCCCTCTAGCGGGCGATGCCACTCAACTGAATCCCCGCTCCGTCCTCACGGCAGTCTGACGCCGGTCGCGCAGTTAACACGGTTCTGCGTTCACGCAGTTTTTCGCCGGTTCCGCCGTGCTGTGGCTCCGCGCGGTTCGGAGCACGTCGCAGTCGCTCGCTCGCTCGCGTGCATGGTGTCGCGGTGCGCGCATTGTTACGACGCGATCACGCCGTGAACGTGGACGTCCTTTCCGTCGCAAACGCCGTGGCCACAGTGGCCGCCGTTGTCCGACACACACACACGGCCGAGAAACGAGCACTCGAGAGACGCCAGATGCTCGAACCTAACCTCCAAGCACAAAGACCGCCCCGAGGGAACACGCTCGCTGCGCGGCCGCGGTAACTCACGTCGCGACGTCTCCCGCGTCCAACGTGGCTCTCTTTCTCCCGATATATCACGCGTGCTCGGCGATTTCTCGCGACGCGATCGATTTCGTGAGACAGCGATGTGAATGGAATAGATACCGTGTCGGAAGCAAGTCCGGAAGTCGAATCGGAGTCCTACGGCTCTTTCTCATCGCGGAACTCTTTGTGAAACAGGACCTCGGTTAACGTTGTGATCGACAAAAGAAAGACGAGCAGCTCGGTAAATAACAGTGGCAGAGGAGAGAGAAGGAAGTAGTCATTCAGCACGGACAGCAACGAAGACTCCGCTCGTCAGTTGTAAATCTTGACCTCGCAGCTTCCTGAAAAAGAAAATCGTCGGTGCGACGTTACTTGAGTGTGAACCGTGGCCAAATCCTGTCTATTCTTCCTCGTCACGGTGAGTACACGACCTTTCAGCGTGACATTCCACGCGTTGTTTACGCGCTCTATTAGCTTTTCTCTGACGCAACTTTTTTTATTATTTGTCTAAGTTGATACGGAAACGCGCGTGATAAAGTATTGGAATAAATACAGACTCTTGGCAATAATCAACAAATAAATAAAAGGCTAGTCTCATGGACATGACGACTTGTCCGATAACGAATGTGTGTGTTTAATTGCGCGATTATCGCATTGGAGAGTTAAATACGATATTTATAAGAAGCAGATAAAATCAGCTATCAAAGTATATATACAGTTGACAGATGTTGCAACTTAGATTACCACTGTGCATACTTGGCTGTTTAATTTTCTCATGGTAACATTTAAACACGATTTTTACAACAGGTAAATTGGATTATATCGAACTTCAAATATTTATAGTCGGATTGTGCTAGTGTACACACAGTTACATAGTTTACAGTTTGATAAAACGATGTTTACAAAATTTTCAACTAGTCACATTCGTTTTTCTAGGCGTTCCTCACCGCTGTTAATTAATCCATGATATACATTCTCGCTTTCTAGATTAGTTAACAGTCACGAGAAAAGCATAGCCATACGCAAAAAAATACTGTATTCAACTGTTATTTGTTTCAAGTGTCTCATACATTTATATATCTGCAAATCCATTATAAGTTTATCATAAGCATCAAATTTATCCAAAATACATTCTGTATCTCGATAAATTTTATATTTTGATCAAAATATTAAAAAATAAAAATATTAAAATAAAACAAAAATGCGCGTCTTGCTTGTTATAAAGGATGCAAAACATTAACGCACATGTATGGGTGCAGGTAGATTAGTTTAAATTGAACAAAAATTCTTTCTACTGCGTCTATTATTATACTGTGTCTCAGACATTCTGTACGGAGTCGAATCAACGTTTTCTCTGATAAAGTTGTTCAACGTTTTCTCTGATAAAGTTGTACAACGTTTTCTCTGATAAAGTTGTACAATATTTTTGTAAAGAGAATAAGGATTTCTCTCTCTCCTCCTCTCCTCTCTTGAGCACATGATAATGACCTTTTCTCAAATTTGTGACGAGTATATTTCAAGATTATTATCAAGAAAGTATTTTTTGTTGAAAATTATTATTATTTAGTAGGAACATGAACTGAGTAATCGCTTTTCTCAGCAGTAAAATGATATTTTTCTGTGTATGGGAACAGATGCAACTAGTTGAAAACATGTAGTAACTATCGATTTATTCGGCGTCGCGTAAATATATCTCTCTGGCGTCATATTATTTTTCTCTTTCCCTCTTATTATCGCCGAATTCTTAATTCCCGATTAGTAGATCTGACGATCGTCTGATTCTGTTATTGTTTGATTCAGTCGATGGTAACCAAATATACGAGACGCCATCTAGACACGACAAACACCGGCTGTATGTATCGACAGACGAAGAAATTACTATCTAATAACGTACTTACGATATATCTCTCGACGATTGTTCATCCCTGTTTCGACACTCCCAGTACTTGTTTACGCGTGAGACTCATTCTCGACAGCAAAACACGCGTAAAACGTGGAACGATGTTGACTGACGTGTTAATAACGGTTGCTCTACACAAAAAGTTTGAAAATGACTGCGCAATGCATGACGGACGTCGAAATCCGCGCTAAGCATGAGCGGTGCGACAAGGAGGCGTTGTATAGTATACTCTGTTTCTCTCTTTCTCACCTGACGTTAGAATCACGAAATTCGGCGTCGCGCATATTCCAGACGTCGTCTTTTTCTCGTCCCTCTTAATGATTATCGCGTTTCTGATTCCCGACTAACAGATCCGACGATCGTCCGATTCTATTACTACTCGAGCGAATCGATGCTGGAAACAAGCGCAAGAGACGCCGACTCGACAAGTCGCGACAAGCACAGGTTGTATGTGTTGAGAATGGAGGAAATTACTCTCTGACAGCGTACTTACACGTCCTGTCGATCGCCCATCGCTACTTTCGACACTCCCGACACTTATTTACGTGCGAGACTCACTTTCGACGGGTAAAAGATGCGCGAAACGTGGAGCGATGTCGATCGGATGCGTCGATGGCGGTCGTCCAAAGCAAAGAGATCGAAGATACGCGCTCTGCACTCACATGAACGCGGAAACGGTCGCTGCACGAAAAGTTGCGACGTGGTGGCCAATCAATGCGCCCCGCGACTGAAAGATTTGATTGGCTACATATTATCGAAGATAATACCGAGATAATGTGCGACCAATGAAAACTCGTAACTAAAGGGCGCGTTGATTGGCCACCGCATCGCGACTTTTCGTGCGGCGACCGTTTCCGCGTTCATATGGATGCAGAGTGTGTATCTTTCGATCTCTTTGCTTCGGGTGACTGCCATTGATGCATCGATCGACATCGCTCCGTGCGTCTTTTGCCCGTCGAAAGTGAGTCTCGCGCGAAAATAAGTGTTGGGAGTGTCGAAAGTAGCGATGTGCGATCGACAGGACGTGTCGTAAGTATGCTGTCAGAGAGTAATATCCTCTATTATCGATATATGCGACCCGTGCATGTCGCGATGTGTCGAGCCGACGTCTCTTGCACTTGTCTTTACCGTTGAATCGCTCAAGCAGCAATAGAATCGGACGCTAGATAGGGACTAGAAATTCGGATGTAATTATGGGGAAAGAGAACGCGATGGCGTGACCCACGTATGCGACACCGAATCTCGTGCGATAGCGGTCTGTCAGTAAGAGAGAAAAAGGGATGTAGCCCGTAGAATGCGTTTTTATCGGCTCGCGACATATCTTGGCGCGTTCATATTTTCGACGCCGTTATGCATTGCGCGGGTAACTTCGGTCTGTTCGCGCCGAGCAATCCGCGTTTTAGGCGTATTTAGTCTGTCGAAAGTGAACCTGGCGCGTAAATAAGCATCGGCAGTGTGGAAAATAATGACGTGCGATCACCGGGATGTGTCGTAAATAAATTATTAGGCAGTAATTCCCTGGTTCCTTGTACATATTATGAGGTACTTGTCGCGTCGTTTCAAGTCGGCGTCTCTCACATTTGTTATTACTATTTGTTCACTCAAGTAGTAGTAGAATCGTACGACCGTCAGATTTATTATAAATAGGCGTGTTATTTATTGTGTTATTAATTATTTATAGTGGCAAGGAGAGAAAGACGACGCCAGAGATATTCGCGACGCCGAATTTCGGGAGGTAGCATCGGGCTGTTGGCATGAGAGAGACAGAAAGAGAGGACGAGAGAGGTGTACAGAACTAGTCGTTGTAGGTGTGCGACAACAGATCCAATGTGGTCGTCACTATTCAAACACAGTGGTATGTTTACAAAATGAAACTAAAAAAAATTGAATTTTGTTTCTAATGATATATATCTCTTTACACAGTTGTGCTCGTTTCTTTAAGAATACTGAGCGAGTTTTTAATTGTACTGAAAATAAAACATGCTTATGTAGGAAGTATCTTTATTTTTGACATGTTAATCTTGAAATGAGATTATAGAAGATAGAAGATAAGTTACTAGCAAGAATATATTTTATATGATTCGATCTAAGAAAAACGTGTGTTCTTATCATTCCAAACTAATTGTCACTAATAGAAGGCATAAAATATTGGATTGAGAATGTTTTTAAATATTGGAAGAAAATATCATTATCATCGAAATAATCACACATACTGTACTTTTGAAACTATTATAATATTCAAATAAAATTTTAACACATTACGAACATTCAAGACTTTAATATTCTTCTAATAGAAGTATGTACTATTACTTATATATGAAACAACATCCCCACCTGGTTGTTTTATATATGAAATAATGATTGTTAATTTGATTATATTAGTTTGAAGTGGATAGAGTAAATCTGGGACATTACACGCATTTAAAAACAACATATTCTCAATCTAGTATTTTGTATTTTCCACTAATAAAAATTATTGTTCAATAATAAAAACACACAAGTTTTTCTTTGTTGAATCATATTAAATATATTCTTACAAATAACTTATCTTGCTGTTTATCGCTATCTAATCTCATTTGAAGAGATTAATGT